TAAATTTGCTTGTATAGAGGTGCAACTGCCAGAATTTCATCAGACGCAGATGTGGCAGCGTTTGTTGGTCTACTATTTTTTTTCTTTCATGTCTAACAGAAATCTGCCATGTGTATTTTAATAAAATTCTGGCATAATTTGTCTGTTCATGTAGCAGGACTGTAAAAGATTACCTGGGCTTGTCCAGCATTGCTAGGATTGTTGGGACCTTGGCTGGCCATTTTCTTGATTAGTTATTAGTAGCTTTTGCTGAATCAGAGAGAAATAATATGTAAGGTTTGACATGGAAGCCACTAGCCAGGTAAATTTATAGATTTCTCAGCGTTCAGATTTGCTCTTAAATATGTGCCTAAATATTTGCATCAATCAACACGTGGCGTGAGGTGGATGATCGGACTCAGTCCTCGTTCAAAAGTCTTGGTTAAGAATGCTTCAAAGAATTTGATTTAGACATAACTGGTTGGTTGTTTTTTAACTGAGCATATGCTTAACAGAAATCTGGTGCTCAAATTTCTTGCAAGGAATAAAAAACCGATTGTGATTTAGACTTTTTGGCAAAGTTCACCATTCAGACAACATGGATTAGGGCATTTTACTATGTTTTTTGCATGATTTTCAAGAATTGTGAAATATCGAGTGTTTAAATGTCACCATAAATTTACTCTATAAAAGATTAATTAAATCTTCCAACTACTGGTACACATAAATCTTGCACTCGGCTCAAACAATACCCCACAGAATACGAACACATTAAATCCTCATTTGGTACATATTAATGTAAGAATGAGCAAAAAAAAATATATCCGTTATGAACCCCACATAAAAGGTGAAAAGTCAAATATGATAACTTAATGTGATGGTTAACGATCATATTTTTCATTTTAATGTACAAATAATGAAAAACAAATCGGGGATAAATGGCAACTATCATTGATTCTTGTGGTAAAAATGAAATTTTTATTATTTCCAAAATATATCAGGAATCTTCTTTCAAACTTTTGGGTTGTTACACTAGCGATTAGGCTCATCTCACATGAAAATTTGAGAAAGACAATCAAGTCCATTTCCAATCAAGCAACCAGTAGAACGAATATGTTTCACCGGTGATAAATAAGAACGAATTTAAGAACAAGAATGTACGAAGATCCATGTGTTCGCTGATAGGCAAGAGTGATTACAAAGAATGGGAGGTAGTCATCAATTATTTTGGTATGCAGAAAAAAAGAAGGCTAGAAGTTTGAGCCTGTGTTTAAAATCCAAAATACCATCGAGAAAGGTTAACAGATTCTGCTGCTGCCATAGCAACCATAAAACAACAGAGCTAACAACGGCAAGCAAAAAATCAAAGCTTTTGAGTCCATGAGCTGAAGTGTATAATCTCTCATCACGTGCCCAGATTATATTTTAGCAGGTAAATTGCCAATTATAATCAGTGATGATGATCCTCATCTTCACCAAGTCCATCAGGGGGTCCACCCGGGCCTACGACATCCAACTGCAAACAAATAATACTTGATCAGCATTTTGAGTACTAGAACAGAGGCATTTTCAATGAATCCAAACATCATAATAATAATAATAATAATTAATAAAAGGGACTCAAGCATCTTGTCTGGAGAACATCTAATTGATTCAAACAAGTATTTTTACTTTTTTGAACATAATAACAAGTTACATCGACTAAATAGCACTAAAAACGCAAAATTTAACCAGACACAATGTCGTAATGATAGAGTAAATGAGGCTAAATGAATTTAATGCATACAAAAGTTCTTCTCAAAATAGCACTAAAAACGCAAAATTTAACCAGACACAATGTCGTAAGAATAGAGTAAATGAGGCTAAATGAATTTAATGCATACAAAAGTTCTTCTCAATCCACATACATAATTAACATGCCAGGGTCATAGTCAAACTATGAGTAACTATCAAGGGCAATCCTGTACTTACCACAAAGTACTGTGAACATACTGGGCATTCATGTGGCTTGCCTTTCTCTAGCCAAAACCAGACAACATCGTGTTCATCCTCTATTAAGTTGTCCAGGAGAGAAAGTTGATCAAAAAACAAATGAAGTGTGGATAAATGAACTATCAAGTACAAATTTCACTATTTAATAGAAAAGAATATAGATAATTGAAACCTACCCCCTTCAGCTCCAGGGCATCCCACAATTCTTTTATCATAGAAAGACTTGATCACAGAAGGTGACTCCTAAAATCAAACAAATTGTTGTAAATAGATCAAATCTGAAACATCATAGAATGAGATAAGAAGCGAAAAATGTAGTGGAAAAATGTAAAGAAAAAAATAAACGATTTCAGTATATGGATGTAGTTTCAGAGAAGATCAGGATGATAATGATGATCTAATATTATAAACTGTAAAGATAGAGATTAACGTCAAATAAAAAAGGGCATTTACATCTTCACGAGAATGGACATTCCTTCTTCATTTTAAAAAGTTTACAATTTTATTGCCTGATCATTTCATTTCGTTGCTTGAGTGAGGAGATATAAATGCTTCACAGTTGACAAGCAGTGAATAGTAGAGAAGGCAATAGCGTGACCATTTAAGTTGATTGACTAGCCTCAAACGAAAATTTTAATCACTGAGGACAGCAATTAAATTCAGTTTATCTCTTAAAAGTAAGGGGTGCATGGGGAAACAGAATGTTCTCACTTCTTCTGCATCATGTGCAAATCTAACATAAAAGTAGCATCTGACATGCCGGACAACTTTAAAAGAGTTCAGGTAACACCATGTTTAAAATGAAATCAGGAAGTTCATCAAACAAGCTAGGGAAAGAAGCAATTGGAGCCCAAAAAATATGCAGGAATCCATTTGCTGGTGAGTTGCAACTTCCAGAAAATCAAGACAATAAAAAGGGCAATAGAATTTAAAAAGCAAAAGAAGTCAGAAGCCAAATAAATTATAGAGAATTTATAAAGCACAAATTATAAATTTTATTGATAATCACAAATTTTAACATTCATTCCAACTAATTTTGAAGTCTAAAATCGTCTAACAATGAATAAGGTACTATACTCTATAGTCCCACATATCCAATACCATAATTCCTAACCAATGGCCCCATCATTAATTTGATTGAACTTCAAGTGGACTTCCATTGTACAATGAGGCATATCAGCTTACGAGAAATAATGTGATCACAGTGACTCCAAATACTAATCAATAGAGAACAAACCATCTGAAGAAGTAATTGATCAACACAAATTTTCTTAATTAACAGAAGATTGCACACTAACCTTTCTTCCAAAAGGTCCAGAGGGATAGTTAATTTCCAGAATGTTTTTTCCCTAATCCGAATAATACAATAATCAGAACACTGTTAATAAACTAAATATTTTACTTTAATATAAAACAGAACCTCCACAAACATAAACGAATAATATAAAAAGTCTCACTTCGAGTTCAGCTTGGAGCTCTTCGCGCTCATGACCAGTTGCAATCGGCATTATATTCTCCACTCTTTTCAGTGAAGCCACATTCCCTATTCAACACATTGCATCTT